CTTACTTTTCCTGGTATACTCAGTAAACTTATTCCCTATAATTTTTACAAACTCTTTTGTCCCCCTTCCCTTTTATAAAGGGATATACATGCTCTCGCTAATCCTAGGTACCCTTCCCCCCTTTTATACATTTATTAAACAAAAGTACCAACCCCTCCAACATTTTATCCCCCTGCTTTTAACATTTGTCATGATCCCACAGTTCCCGGGGTTTCCCCCTTTCATTCTACGTAATGCCTCACGTACCTCCACCCACTTCTTTGTTCTTCTTCACTCCTAAAAAATGGTATACCTCCCCGGCCAATGATGAAAAAGCGCCCCCCTTTCTTCCTCAACATTTAAAAGTTTTCCCCAAAAATTCTCGCCATCTCCCCAATACCTCCCCCTTTCCCCCTCTAAAATCCCCCCACTCTGTTTTTAACGGACAAACCTACTTTCCCTGGCTTTCTTAAATGTTTAACTCCTCCAAAAATTTTTTTTATTTTCATTAAAATTTTTGACGGCTTCTCCCACTCTTTCATCTGCTTCCTTTTGCACCTCTCCCACTCTCTTCACCTTTTTTTTACTCCCATATGTCGCTCTTTTAAACACTTCTTTTTTTAAAAAAACCCTGAATCCCTTTTTTTCCCTTTTTCACACCTTTAGTTTTCTTCCACCCAACACTCCCTTTCTCCCGCCCCCCCCTCCTATAAATAAAAATTCTCCCCCCATTCTAATACTGCTTTTTAAAACTATACCACCCCCTTCAGCCCCCCCACATCATCTTTGCAGTACCACCTTTCGCCAAAGGGCGTTTATTCGCAAAATTCCTCCTCCTTAGTTTTTAAAACTTTACCTCCCCCCTTACTTTTGTTGCCACCTTCCTCTTTTCCCATCTACCTCTTACTTAACTGTGCACAAAAAAATAATTATCCGATATTCATTCCCGCTATAAACTGTAATCCCGGGAGCCTACCATCAACCTTTTATCCACCAATACATAATCTAACAAACTATTTCATTTATGTGCCTACAATCATACTGCTTGTATATTTTTTTATTCCTCTTTTCATAAAAATATGTATTACTTTTTAACAAATTTCTTTCGACACATAGCTCAATTAAAGGCTCCCCATTTTTACCCCTGGCACCCAAATATTTACTACTACTCCCTCCATAACATTTTACCCACTTTAGCATTGAATCCCCAACCACATTACTCTCACACTTGATTCAAAACTCCCCACGGCATTCACTTCAACATTTCCCAGAATCTCTCTCTCTCTCTACACTTCTCTCTTATCTCCAGGTGCATACACGCTTACTATAACCCACTTTTGACACCAATCTTTTAATTTTACTCCACACTTTAATCCTTGATTTTACATTTGTAGTCCCTCTTTTCCTGCCATAGCTTATCCTTCAACTTATTGCTACTCCTGTTTAGCTCTCACTCTATTTGAAATCCCTGACCTAATCCCTTTATTCTCTCAATGAAACTCTTCCACCCCCGTCAGATTTGTTTCACATAAGCAGGATCCAGTTTCTTCTCTTTCATAACATCCACATCAACTCTTTCTTATTCATTTGCACAAACTTCACGCACATTCAGACTTCCACTTATGACAATTTTCTTCTTCTTCTTTTTAGTAATCTTTACAGGAAAAGGGGTTACTAGCCCATTGTTCCCGGCATTTTAGTTGACTTTTACAACACGCATGGCTTACGGAGGAAAGATTCTTATTCCACTTCCCCATGGATATAAAAGGAAAAGTAATAAGACCAAGAACTATTAAGATAAAATCAAAGAAAACTCAGATGAGTGTGTATAAATAAACGTGTACATGTATGTGTAGTGTGACCTAAGTGTGAGTAGAAGTAGCAAGACGTACCTGTAATCTTGCATATTTATGAGACAGACAAAAGACACCAGCAATCCTACCATCATGTAAAACAATTACAGGCTTTCGTTTTACGCTCACTTGGCAGGACGGTAGTACCTCCCTGGGTGGTTGCTGTCTACCAAACTACTATCTGTACTTAAATAAACTTACATACTGTGCTGGCATGCAGGTACATACTCAGTAAGAGTGTCTTATGTCTCCAGACGTCATATTAATAATGATGATAATAATCACCGAGTCTCATTAAATGTCATATATTACGTTAATATACACATTTTCATTAATCCATCCATGATATTTTTTTCAAAATTATATAATAAACATGATACATAACATATAAAGATGATAAATACACCCCGCAATAGAATAAATAAACATAAATATGAGATGTGGTAGCCAGATAACGTGTACAAGTGACGGCAAGAATAACATTTTCTCTAATCTAACATAAGAGAAAATGTGTTACTGGGGGTAACTGTAGAAAATTTTTCCTTTTTTATGCATGTAAGTTTATTCAGGTATACACAAATACAGTTACATAGATTATCATACATAACAGCTTGTGTGTAGAGAACCTAGAATAACCCAAAAAAGTCAGAGTGGCTTATTTCCATTTTCCTTCACTCAGAGTGTCATTTCTTTTTCAAATGATGTTACATGAGAATGGGAGTGTTCTTCTTTATTTATTCTACCGTATCAATGTAGAGACAACCTGTACACAATGTAACTTGCACACAAACCAGACGTGTACACTTTGTTTGTTTACAAAACTTACCTTCGCCTGGTTTGTTTACATAACTCTGCTCCTGTCCTCTCTCATGCACTCATTCTTTCTCTCTCTCATTTATTCGATTTATCTCATTTACTTACTCCTGACCCTACATTAAGACTACAAATATTTTAGGGTAAGTAATGAGTGAACTATATATACATTTTATCGCTCTGGGATGCTTAAATATCATAGAATATTGTGTGGGTGGGGTGGCCTGGTATGGTAGCCTGGCTGGCTACCATACATACCACACTTGATTTTTTACAATAAATGCTACTCATCTCACCCTAGATTAAGACTATAAATATTTTAAGGTAAGTAATGAGTAAACTGTATATGCATTTTATCGCTCTGGGATGCTTACATGTAATAGAATATTATGTGTAGGTGGGGTGGCCTGGTATGGTAGCCTGGCTGACTACCATACATACCACACTTGATTTCTTACAATAAATACTACTCGCCTCACCCTAGATTAAGACTATCTATTTCTGTAATATATCTTCCATTCTATCAAATGAGACCAAAAAAAAACGAGAATACAACCATAAAAACCATTCAAAATTACCGTTAAGGGGTGGCTAATTGCTGAGAAGTGAACTCCATTATTTATGCTTAGATTTTTTCATTTTTGGTGTACGTTAAGAAGCATCTTTCCATCATACATTGCCCAAGTTTCAATAAGATAGTCCAACAAACAACTGAGATACAATTCCCGAGATCAAGAGCAAGAGCCCCTCACCAGTGACAAGGAACCTGCCTTGAGGTCTGCTCGCTTGTGGAAATTTTGCTTGCATATGGAAGCAAAAAATCGACCCATCGACTGCTCGTATTTGGAAAAACTCGCACGTGGACACGCTTGCAAGTAGAGGTTCCACTGTAATGGCAAAATAGTGGACTTATTACACTTTAGCACCATGAGTAGCACCTTGGTTATTTTAACAATTGTGAATATATGAACTAAGGTTGTTATATAAAGCTAAAATAAAGGAGAAAATATATAAGGGACTACATTAAGTAATGGTAAACAAAGTTCAATGGATAGATAGTAACTATGATATAATATAATGGCAAAATAGTGAACTTATTACACTTTAGCACCTGAGAATAGCAGAATGAAATAAAATATGGGAGTTGACACTTACTTTTTGCTGAGGATGCTGTGCTTTTGGGGGTTCTAAAGAAAAGTTGCAAAGGTTAGTGGATGAGTTTGAGAGGGTGTGTAAAGATAGAAAGTTAAAAGTGAACATAGATAAGAGTAAGGTGATGAGGGTATTAAACAATTTAGATAAAGAAAAATTGGATATCACATTGGAGGGAGGGGGTATGGAAGAAGTAAATGTTTTCAGATATTTGGGAGTTGACCTGTCAGCAGATGGGTTTATGAAGGCTGAGGTTAACTGTATAACTGATGAAGGGAAAAAGCTGAGTGGTGCATTGAGGTATCTGTGGAGACAATAAAATGTTATCCATGGAGACAAAGAAGGGAATGTATGAGAGTATAGTGGTACAAACACTTTTATATGGGTGTGAAGCATGGGTTGTAAATGCTGCATTGAGGAAGCTGGTGACAGTGGAGATGTCGTGTCTAAGGGCAATGTGTGGTGTAAATTTTATGCAGAGAATTTGTGGTGTGGAAATTAGGAGGAGGTGTAGAGTTACTAAAAATATTAGTCAGAGGGCTGAAGAGGGGTTGTTGAGGTGGTTTGATCATTTAGAGAGAATGGATCAGAGAATGACTTTGAGAGCATATAAATCTGTAGGGAAAGGAAGCTGGAGTTGGGGGTCGTCCTTGAAAAGGTTGGAGGGAGGGGGTAAAAGGGGGTTTTGTGGGCAAGGGGCTTGGACTTCCAGCAAGCATGTGTGAGCAGGTTAGATAAGAATGAATGGAGATGAATGGTTTTTGGGACCTGACGAGCTGTTGGAGTGTGAGCAGGGTAATATTTTATGAAGGGATTCAGGGAAACTGGTTAGCTGGACTTGAGGGTTTGGGATATTGGAAGGACATCCAAACTGTCGTATCTGAGCACTTCTGCAAAGACAGTGATTACGTATGAGTGATGGTAAAAGTGTTGAATGATGATGAAAGCTTTTTCTTTCTTTTTGGGTTTTCCTTTCTTTTTGGATTACCCTGCCTTGTTGGGAAAAGGCCAATGTGTCAAAAAAAACAAATTAATTATTTGTATCATGTTGACTGTTGAACTTCATTTTTATTGTACTTTGATGTTCTGTAGAAAAATCCATGCAGGGCCACCTGCTCATGCTTTTGTACATAAATGGAAAGAATTTTGGTATCATATATTCAGCTAATTTAAATCAGACTAATTTTTGAAATTTGTTTCCAGGTTGTCATACCGCCAGAGAATTGCAGAAGTTGTTCCTGAGCAGTTTGACTGTTTTGTACCGCACAAACCAGAACCTATATACAAATATGCAAATGCTGATGCTAGTAAGTAATCCCAGCTTGATAATTCAAGAATGTTTGTGGTCACATATTTTGTTTAAATTATCTTAATGATTATAAAGGATGGTACTGAATTAATGATCTCTAAAACAAATTTTCCTTAGGTAATGAATGTAAGAAAGTTTCAGTAGAATAAAACAGAGTAGCAGTTTTTTTTGTCTCTAAATGAAATGAATTTTTATTTGTCAGGAGATATTCTGAGGAAGTGAGAAAATTAATGGAGTTGAAAGCTTTGCAAAATATTTATTGAAATATTGGATGAAAAGGGTAAAGATGGTTTTGAGTGCTAGGGGCATAAGCAGCCAGCATGCTTCTGTTAGTGTGTTAGATAGGAATGAGTGGAGACGAGTGGTTTTTATGGCCTGATGGTGCTGTTGGAGTGTGAGAAAAGGTAATACTGTATTTATGAAAGGATTCAGGGAAGGCAGTTATCTGGACTTGAGTGCTGAAGGTGGGAAGTACAGTGCTTGCACTCTGAAAGAGGGGTCGGGAATGTTGCATTTCAAAGGGTTATTTCAATTGTGATCATCTTCACACTTCTGGCAAGATGGCTGTTGAATGAATGATGATGAATGCACTTCCTTTTTCTGGAAGGAAAACAAAAAAAGAGGTTTCAAGAATTTCATGAACTTTCTTTTATTTGACAGGTCTAGAGTCTATTTAGTGTTGTTAAACATGAATGAAAGTCACAGTACAGTGGCTGGAACGGTTTCGATTATTTTTTTTTTAACAAGTTGGCCGTCTCCCACCGAGGCAGGGTGACCCAAAAAGAAAGAAAATTCACAGAAAGAAAAGACTTTCATCATCATTCAACACTTTCACCTTGCTCACACATAATCACTGTTTTTGCAGAGGTGCTCAGAATACAACAGTTTAGAAGCAAATACGTATAAAGATACTCAACATATCCCTCCAAACTGCCAATATCCCAAACCCCTCCTTTAAAGTGCAGGCATTGTACTTCCCATTTCCAGGACTCAAGTCCGGCTATATAAAAATAACCGGTTTCCCTGAATCCCTTCACTAAATATTACCCTGCTCACACTCCAACAGCTCGTCAGGTCCCAAATACCATTCGTCTCCTTTCACTCCTATCTAACATGCTCACGCACGCTTGCTGGAAGTCCAAGCCCCTCGCCCACTAAACCTCCTTTACCCCCTCCCTCCAACCTTTTCGAGGATGACCCCTACCCCGCCTTCCTTCCCCTACAGATTTATACACTCTCCATGTCATTCTACTTTGATCCATTCTCTCTAAATGACCAAACCACCTCAACAAACCCTCTTCAGCCCTCTGACTAATACTTTTATTAACTCTACACCTTCTAATTTCCACACTCCGAATTTTCTGCATAATATTTACACCACACATTGCCCTTAGACAGGACATCTCCACTGCCTCCAACCGCCTCCTCGCTGCAGCATTTACAACCCAAGCTTCTCATCCATATAAGAGTGTTGGTACTACTATACTTTCATACATTCCCTTCTTTGATATGAGGGTCTAGGATAGATCAAAATGTTTTTACTAGCCATCTCTCACCAATGTAGGGTGACCCAGAAAAAGACGAAGAACTTTTGTTATTCATTCAATCACTTTTTTTCTAGAAGCATGCTGACATCACAGCTCAGATAACATTCTGAATTGCAACATCCCACTCCTCTTCTGGGGCGCAAGAACTGTACTTACCAGCTCCAAGACTCGAGTCCAGCTAACAGGTTTCCTCCTGAATCCCTTCATGTTTATTACTTTGCTCATACTCTAACAGCAAGTTAAATCATAAAACCACTTGCCTCCACTCCTGTTAGATGTCCAAGCCCCTAGGTAATAATATGTTTTTTCTGTAGGTTTTACTACATTGTCGTAGTTGTCATTTTACTTCAATGGCCACCTTCTGCCAAGGCAGGGTGGCCCAAAGAAGAAAAGACATTCACCATCCTCTATGCAGTCTCACTTTCCAGAAATGTACTGACATCACAATTCAGATTACCATCCAAATGCAACTTCCCCACCCTTTCTTCATAGTATTATCATTAGTGTTGTCAAGAGGTGTGGGATTAAGAGATAAAGAATCTTACACAAAGTGGGAGTTGTCACAGTTGCATTTCGCTGATGACACTGTGCTTCTGAGAGATACTGAAGAGCAGTTGCAGAGGTTGGTGAACGAGTTTGGAAGGGTATGAATAAGAAGGAAATTAAAAGTGAACATAGGAAAGAGCAAGGTGATGAGCATAACAAAAAATTTAGGTAATGAAAGATTGGGTATCCAGATTGGAGAGAGTATGGAGGAAGTGGATGTATTCAGATATTTGGGAATGGACGTGTCAAGCAGATGGGTCTGTGAGAGACGAGGTGAATCATAGAATTGACGAGGGGAAAAAGGTGAGTGGAGCACTGAGGCATCTGTGGAGACAGAACGTTACCCATGGAAGCAGAGAGGGGAATACATAAGAGTATAGTGGTACCAATGCTCTTATATGGGTGTGAAGCATGGGTGGTGAATATTGTAACAAGGAAAAGGCTGGAGGCAGTGGAAATATTGTGTCTGAGGGCAGTATGAAGTGTGAATATAAGCTTGGAGATTAGGTGGTGGTGTGGGGTGTCTAAAAGTATTATCCAGAGGGCAGAGGAAGGGTTGTTGAAGTGGTTCAGACATTTAGAGAGGATAGAACAAAATAGAATGACTTGGAGGACATGTAAATCTGTAGTGGAAGGAAGGTGGGGTAGGGTTCATCCTAGTAAAAGTTGGAGGGAGGGGGGATTAAAGGAGGTTTTGTGTGAAGGGCTTTGACTTCCAACAAGTGTGCATGAGCATGTTATATAGGAGCAAGTGAAGATGAATAATGATTTTTATGCCTTGACGTGCTGTTGGAGTGTGAGCAAAGTAACATTCATGAAGGGATTTGGGAAAACCGTTTAGCTGGACTTGAGCCCTGGAGGTGGGAAGTACAGTTGCTGCACTCTGAAGTAGAGGTGTTGATATGTTGCAGTTTTTTAACTGTAGTGTTGGCATACCTTTGGCAAGACAGTGATGGAGTGAATAATGATGAAAGTGGGTGTTGTTTTTCGGGTTGCCTTGCCTCGGTGGAAAACGGCCGATGTGTTAATAAAAAAAAAATTATTTACTTATTTTTTTAACTTGAGAGCCATCTCCTGCCAAGGCAGGATACCTTTGATATACTTTTGATGAGTTCTCAGAGTTTTTCTACTCCCAGAACCCAACCATCGGCCAATCACCGGGTGATTGCTGGGTCACCCAGGCTGTTGTTGCTGGAAACCTACTGCCCCTCATATTCATCACAGCCTGGGTGACCTAAAGAAGAAAACACATTTACCAACATCCACTCATTTGCTGTCTTTCCAGAAGTGTGCTGACCCCTTCTTAACCCTTTCAGTGTCTTCCATGTATATTTACATTAGTGAAGCCAGTATCACTTATGTAGATCTACACATGAAATCTAGTAGCCTCAAATTTGGTATGAGAGGCTTGGTAGGCCTAGGCTTGAGAAAATGGGTCTGCATAGTCAGTGTGTGAAATTTACAAAAAAAAAAAAAAAAAAAATGGAGTTGTGCATTGCATTATGGGAGTACCTTCCTAGTATTCCATTGTCCACCATGCCACACCAATGCAGTACTTTCACTCCCAGGTGAATTCAACATGTATTATTCCCCCACTTACAGCTCCAGCAACAAGGATATTGATTTCAAGGATTAACCCTTTCAGGGTCGGCAGGCCCTCTCCTAAACTTGTTCTCGGGGTCAGAAATTTTTTGAAAAAAAATAAATATTTTTTCTTGTGAAATGTTAGAGAATCTTTTCCTGATCATAATGACACCAAAAGTAAGAAATTTGATGGAAAACTTACGGAATTATGCTCTCGTGAGGTTAGTTGTCTCTACAATGTTTACGCATCGGCGATTTCGCCCAATTTGAGTCCTATTTTCGGCCAGTTCCAATGTAGCAGTCAACAAAAAGCATTACTATTTCACTAGAACTCCATTTTTTTCTATCGATTGAGTACAAGAAACCACCCATTTACCGATTTCAGCTATCCAATAAAGTGGTCAGAAAGTGGCAATTTTGCCAATATCACACAAATTTCAGAAGATGCCAGTTTCCAAATAGGGTTCAGAATAAACTAGACAGACATTCCTGGCACTAAAATAACATTTCCTCTGTTCATTAGTCATGTCCCCAGGCCTCTGTTACATTTCTTTTGCTTTCCACTTTGAACTTTTATTCTCACAAAAAATAGAAGATTTACTGTTATGCAGTGTACTGCATTAGTGTAGAAATGGTATAAATAATATCAGCACACTTGTGAAAGAATATTAGGCTACCAGTTGATGTGTATTGGACGCTTGGCATGATTTGTTTACTTCTGAACTTTAGCAAAAATCGAACATTTCTGCTACTTTGAGCTCAATTTCAAGGTCCTTTTCTTTGTGAAACCAATCAAAATCATCTCAATTTCTGTAATATGTCTTCCATTCTATAAAATGAGACCAAGAAAACTAGAATACAACCATAAATAGTATACGAAAATACACTGCAAAGTCGCTGTTTTAAACCAAAAACTTGGTCGGAGTTTTTTTTTTTCTCATTATGTACTGTGTGCTGCAGGATATTTTTTTTTATACTGTACACACTGATCACATAGACCCATTCTTTCATATGTAGTCCTACCAGCTTTCTCTCGCTAGATTTGAAGGCACTAGAATTTATGTGTACTTGTACGGCATCAACCCTGGCGTGCAAGCCATACTAGTATGGCACGAACCCTGAAAGGATTAATTCTCTGGATTCAAATGTATGGTGACCAAAGGCAACAATCAAAATAATGGAAATAGTTTTAAAAATTCCAATGACCCACAGCTTTCCACCTCTGTGGTCAATGATTACACAACACATCTACACCACATGTGAAAGCTTACATTCTCCCTTGGTTTGAGCTCAGATGTGAGTAGTAATGATAGTGATGTGGATTTTCACCTTCTGGTGTATAGTCAATGGTATTCATTGCGCGGCTTGCGAGCCGCCAATAACAAGATATGCAGGCTAATATTACCATGTCTAATTTTTCTCATTTCCTATATTTCACTAGCAGCTCAGTACTACTTAATTTAGTTGAGTTATGCTAACTTGCAGTAGCTGCGGCTCTCTCAATCAATGTGTTCAACTGAAGTGGCTCTCTTGCAAAAATTAGTGAATAACACTGTGTATAGTGATAGTGATAATTATTTGACCATGGAGCATCAGTAGAATGCAGCCTAACTATACCCACAGGAACATTGCCACCGAACTTGATTTCTTTGAACTTAATTTTCATGAACCCTTGATGCAAATAATAGCAACAGAAACATGTTTGTTTCACCATGATCATGACTTTGCCAGTGGAAAGGTACAATTGTGGTCAAGATGTATCTTCAAGCAAGCATGTGTGAGCATGTTATATAGGAGTGAATGGAGACGAATGGTTTTTGGGACCTGACAAGCTGTTGGGGTGTGAGCAGGGTAATATTTAGTGAAGGGATTTAGGGAAACCGCTTAGCCGGACTTGAGTTCTGGAACTGGGATGTACAATGCCTGCACTTTAACCCTTTGAGGGTCGACAGGCCCTCTCCGAAACTCGTTCTCAGGGTCTGCCAAATTTAAAAAAAAAAAAAAATTATTTTCTCTTATGAAAAGATAGAGAATCTTTTCCCGATCATAAAGATACCAAAAGTTTGAAATTTGATAGAAAACTCAAGGAATTATGCTCTCGCAAAGTTAGCGGTCTCGGCGATGTTTACGCATCGGCGATTTTGCCCACTTTGAGCCCCATTTTCGGCCAATTTCACTGTACTAGTCGACAAAAAACATGAATATTTCGCTAGAACTCCATTTTTTCTATCGAATGGGTGCAAGAAACCACCCATTTATGAAATAAAACTATCCAGTACAGTGGTCAGAATTTAGCAATTTTGCCAATTTCACACAAATTTCTAAAGATGCCAATTTCCGAATAGGGTCCAGAATAAACAAGAAAGACATTCCTGGCACTAAAATGACATTTCCTCTAGTCATTAGTCACGTCTCAAGGCCCCTCTTATATTCTTTTGCTTTCCACTTTGAATTTTTATTTTCACAAAAAATATAAGATTTACTGTTATGCAGACTACTGCATTAGTGTAAAAAATGGTATAAATATTATTGGTGCACTTGTGAAAGAATATTAGACTCACCAGTTGACGTGTATTGCACGCTTGGCACGATTTGTTTACTTTTGAAGTTTGGTAAAAATCGAACATTTCTGCTACTTTGAGCTCAATTTCAAGGCACCTTTCATTGTAAAACCAGTCAAAATCATCTCAATTTCTGTAATATGTCTTCCATTCTATAAAATGAGACCAAGAAAACTAGAATACAACAATAAATACCATACGAAAATACACTGCAAAGTCGCTGATTTATTAAAAAAAATGGTCAAAGTTTTTTTTTTCTCATTATGCACTGTGTGCTGCAGGATTTTTTTTAGACTGTGCACACTGACCACATAGACCCATTCTTTCATATGAAGGCCTACCAGCTTTCTCCCACTAGATTTGAGGCCGCTAGAATTTATGAGTACTAGTACGTCAAAAACCCCTACGCGTAAGACGTACTAGTACGACCAAAACCCTCAAAGGGTTAAAAGAGGGGTTTGGGATATTGACAGTTTGGAGGGACTTATAAACTGTCGTATCTGAGCACCTCTGCAAAGACAGTGATTATGTATGAGTGAGGTGAAAGTGTTGAATGATGATGAAAATATTTTCTTTTTGGGAATTTTCATTCTTTTTGGGTCACCCTGCCTTGGTGGGAGATGGCCGACTTGTTGAAAAAAAAATGTATCTTTTTGTCTCACTGATGCTTATGTTGTAAAGAATAGGTGTGCCAGTGGGTCAGCAACAACACCAGCCTGGTTGACCAGGCAAACACCAGATGAGCTTGGCCCAAGGCCAGGTTCTGGGAATAGAAAAACTTGGAACTCGCTAAAGGTATATCAAAGATAAGGTCTCCCTGAACCCCCTTGTAAAAGTTACTTGGTAGTAGTAGTAGTAGTGTTGTTAGTAGTAGTCATAGTAGTTTTAATGAATACAATTATACAATTCTGATTTTTTTAATGTTTCAGGTGATATACCAGGTGCCGATGCTGCTCATCAACTTGAAAATGTGATTCGAGCGAAGGGAACAGGAAATGAAGTTCTGCAAGTGCTCAACGAACTTCCAAACCCACTGCGGGAAAATGACGAGACAGATCCACCCTATAACCCTCTTCAGATTCAAGTCTTTGTTCAGACTTTGCTTCATCTTGGCTCCAAAAGTTTCTCTCATGCATTTGCTGGAATATCAAAGTTCCTCAAGGTAATTTCTTACTGTTGTCAATCATATGAATACAGTTATGATATTCAACTACTAAACTGTTGGTCATGTAGATCTTTGTTGCTAGGATCAGTTTCAGTACAGTTGATGTACATAAAATTCAAAGCACTCTCAAATTTGTTGAGTGGCAAATTTTGGCCTAGACCTGAGCAAATGGGTGTGCATAGCATTAGAAAAAATCCTGCTTCACTTAGTGCATGATGGGACACCTAATATCTGACCCTGCATTTTCATTAACCCTTAAACTGTCCAAACATAGATCTACGTTCACATGCGTAGTGCTCCAAAAGTAGATCTACATTTTGTTACTTTTTCAAATATAACAAAAAAATGTAGATCAAAGTTTTTTTTTACACACTTTCAAATGTAAAAAAAAAAAAAAAAAAAAAAAAAAAAAAGATTACGTTCTTTTACATACTTTCAAATGTTGAAAAAATGTAGATCTACATTTGGACAGTTTAAGGGTTAAAATAGCAAATTTTTAGAATTTTTAGGGTGGTTTATTGGTCAATCTTGGATGCTACTAGGTAGCCTAAAAGATTTTTTTATTAACACATCGGCCTTCTCCCACCAAGGTAGGGTTGTCCGAAAAAGAAAAACTTTCATTATCATTCACTCCATCACTGTCTTGCCAGAGATGTGCTTACATTACAGTTATAAAACTGCAACATTAACATCCTGCCTTCAGAGTGCAGACACTGTACTTCCCATCTCCAGGACTCAAGTCCAGCTGCCGGTTTCCCTGACTCCCTTCATAAATGATAACTTGTTCACACTCCAACAGCATGTCAAGTAATAAAAACCATTCGTCTCCATTTGCTCCTATCTAACACGCTCACGCATGCTTGCTGGAAGTCAAAGCCCCTTGCACACACAACCTCTTTTTACCCCTTCCCTCCAACCTTTCCTAGGCCGATCCCTACCCTGCCTTCCCTCCAGTACAGATTTATACACTCTAAGTCATACTATTTTGTTTTGTCCTCTCTACATGTCCGAACCACCTCAACAGCCACTTCTCAGCCTTCTGCATAATAATTTTGGTAATCCCACACCTCCTAATTTCCAAACTATAAATTCTCTTCATTATATTCACACCACACATTGCCCTCAGACATGTTATCTCCACTGCCTCCAGCCTTGTCCTTGTTGCAACATTCACCACCCATGTTTCACACACATATACGAGCATTAATATAACTGTACTCTCATACATTCCCCTCTTTGCTTCCTTGGACAAACTTCTTTGTCCCCACATACTCCTAAGTAAACCACTCACCTTTTTCCCCTCATCAGTTCTATGATTCACTTCATCTTTCATTGACACATCCACTCCTAAATATCTGAATACATTCACCTCCTCCATGCTCTCTCCCTCCAATCTGATACCCAATCTTTCCTAACCTAATTTTTTTGTTATACTCATCACCTTACTCTTTCTATATTCACTTTTAATTTTTTCTTGTGCATACCCTACCAAACTCATCCACCAATCTCTGCAACTTCTCTTCAGAATCTCCCAAAGGCACAGTGTTAACAGCAGAGAGCACTGTGACAACTCCCACTTTATGTTGTCTTTATCTTTTAACCCCACACCTCTTGCCAACATCTGAGCATCGACTTTTCTTACAACCCCATCTATAAATATATTAAACAACCATGGTGACATCAGTCATTCTTGTCGAAGGCCTACTTTTACTGGGAAACAATCTCCCTCTCTCCTACATACTCTAACTAGAGTCTCACTATCCTTGTAAAAACTCTTCACTGCTTTCAGCAGCCTACCTCCTATTCCATGCATTTGCAACATCTGCCACATTTCCCCCCATCCACCCTATCATACGCCTTTTCCAAATCCATAAATGCCACAGAAACCTCATTACCCTTATTTAAATACTGTTCTCCTATGTTTCACTGCACACCCCCTACCTTTCCTAAAGCCTCCTTGTTCATCTGTTTTCCTACTCTCCATCTTACTCTTAATTCTTTCAACAATGATTACCATGCACTTTACCAGGTATCCTCGACAGACTTTTTTTTTTTGTCTCAACACTTCAACTATTTCGCACCACGGCAGGGTGATCCAACACAAAGAAAAACCCAAAAAGAAAAAAAAAACTTTCACTATCAGTCAACATTTTCACCATCACTTGTACATAATCACTGTCTTTGCAGAGGCGCCCAGATACGACAGTTTAGATAGTCACTCCAAACTGAGAATTATCCCAAACCCCTCCTTTAACCCTTTGACTGTCGCAACCCCCAATCCTGAGGTGTCTCCTGGTGTCGCAAAATTTCAAAAAAAAAAAAAAAAAAAATTCTTAAGAAATGATAAGAGAATCTTTTCCCGATTGTAATGACACCAAAAAAACGAAATTTGATGGAAAACTGACGGAATTATGATCTCGCTAAGTTAGCGACCTCGGCGATATTTACAAATTGGCGATTTCACCCACTTTGAGCCCTATTTTCAGCTAATTCCATTGATCCAGTCGACCAAACTCATAGCTACTTCTTTAGAACTCCATTTTTTCTATCGATTGAGTACAAGAAACTGCCCATTTACCAATTTCAACTACCCAATAATGTGGTCAGAAATTTGCAGTTTGGCCAATTTCACGAAAATTAAAAAAATATGACAATTTCAAAATAAGGTCCAGAATGAACAATGCAGACATTCCTGGCTCTAAAATAACATTTTCTTTGTTCATCAGTCATGTCTCCAGGCCCCTCTGATATTACTCTTGCTTTCTATTTTTAATTTTTATTCAAACAAAAAATAGAAGACTTACTATTATGCAGACTACTGCAATACTGTAATAATTGTATAAATAACATCAACCCATTCATGACTGCATATTGGAATGGCTAGTTGGACATTTATTGGACAATGACATCATTTGTTTACTTTTGAACATTGGCAAAAATCAAACATTTCCCCTACTTTGAGCTCCATTTCCAGGTTCTTTTTATAGTAAAATCAATCAAAATCACCTCTACTTCTATAATATGTTTTCCATTCTATCAAATGAGACCAAGAAAATGAGAATACAACCATAAATACTATACGAAAATAGACCACAAAGTCGGCATTTTAATTAAAAAAAATGGTCGTAGTTTTTTTTTTCTTATTATGCACTGCGTGCTCCAGGATTTTTTTTATATGGTGCACACTGATCACACAGACCCATTCTCTCACATGTGGGCCTACCAGCTATCTCCTGCTTGATTTGAAGCCGCTAGAATTTATGAGTATATATACGTTAAACACAGTACCTCATAAGACGTATATATACGGCCGCGACAGTCAAAGGCTTAAATTGCAGGTACTGTACTTCCTATTTCCAGGATTCAAGACAAGCGAAATCGTAATGACACGATTGCAAACAAATTCCGCCCATGGTATGGTTTTTTTTTTTTTTTCCAGGATTCAAGTTTGGCTAACTGGTTTTCCTGAATCCCTTGACAAAATATTACCCTGCTCACACACAACAGCTCGTCAGGTCCCAAAAACCATTCATCTCCATTCACTTCTATCTAACACGCTCACGCATGCTTGCTGGAAGTCCAAGCCCCTCACCCACAAAACTTCTGCCCATTCCCTCCAACCTTTTCAAGGATGACCCCTACCCTGCCTTCCTTCCCCTACAGATTTATATGCTCTCCATGTCATTCTACTTTGATTCATGCTCTCTAAATGACCAAACCACCTCAATAACCCCTCTTCAGCCCTCTGACTAATACTTTTATTAACTCCACGCCTCCTGATTTCCACACACCAAATTTTCTGCATAATATTTACACCACACATTACCATTAGACAGGACATCTTAACTGCCTCCTCATTGCAGCATTTACAACCCAAGCTTCACACCCATATAAGAGAGTTGATACCACTATACTTTCATACATTTAATTCTTTGCTTCCATAGATAATGTTTTTTTGTCTCCACATATACCTCAATGCACAACTCACCTTTTTTCCTCCATGAATTCTATGGTTAACCTCATCCTTCATAAATCCATCCACTGACACGTCAACTCCCAAATATCTGAAAACATTCACTTCTTCCATACTCCCTTTCTCCAGTGTGATATCCCATTTTTCTTTAAGTAATTTGATACCCTCCTCACCTTACTCTTATCTATGTTCACTTTCAACTTTTTACCTTTACACACCCTCCCAAACTCGCCCACTAACCTTTGCAACTTTTCTTTAGAATCTCCCATAAGCACTGTTTTTTTTTTTTTATTATTATCACACTGGCCGATTCCCACCAAGGCAGGGTGGCCCGAAAAAGAAAAACTCTCACCATCATTCACTCCATCACTGTCTTGCCAGAAGGGTGCTCTACACTACAGTTTTTAAACTGCAACACCCCTCCTTCAGAGTGCAGGCACTGTACTTCCCATCTCCAGGACTCAAGTCCGGCCTGCCGGTTTCCCTGAATCCCTTCATAAATGTTACTTTGCTCACACTCCAACAGCACGTCAAGTATTAAAAACCATTTGTCTCCATTCACTCCTATCAAACACGCTCACGCATGCCTGCTGGAAGTCCAAGCCCCTCGCACACAAAACCTCCTTTACCCCCTCCCTCCAACCCTTCCTAGCCGACCCCTACCCCCGCCTTCCTTCCACTACAGACTGATACACTCTTGAAGTCATTCTGTTTCGCTCCATTCTCTCTACATGTCCGAACCACCTCAACAACCCTTCCTCAGCCCTCTGGACAACAGTTTTGGTAATCCTGCACCTCCTCCTAACTTCCAAACTACGAATTCTCTGCATTATATTCACACCACACATTGCCCTCAGACATGACATCTCCACTGCCTCCAGCCTTCTCCTCGCTGCAACATTCATCACCCACGCTTCACACCCATATAAGAGCGTTGGTAAAACTATACTCTCATACATTCCCCTCTTTGCCTCCAAGGACAAAGTTCTTTGTCTCCACAGACTCCTAAGTGCACCACTCACTCTTTTTCCCTCATCAATTCTGTGATTCACCTCATCTTTCATAGACCCATCTGCTGACACGTCCACTCCCAAATATCTGAATACGTTCACCTCCTCCATACTCTCTCCCTCCAATCTGATATTCAATCTTTCATCACCTAATCTTTTTGTTATCCTCATAACCTTACTCTTTCCTGTATTCACCTTTAATTTTCTTCTTTTGCACACCCTACCAAATTCATCCACCAATCTCTGCAGCTTCTCTTCAGAATCTC